TGAGTATGTTCTTCCTTTATGGTTTTGTAATTCCAGGTAATGGCCCACTTCATTATAATATTTCACTTTGTATTCTTGAGCCGGCCCTTGAAATCTTCTGATCAGCTCTTTTATTTCATCATTTCCTCCATTTGCTTTAGCTATTCTCTAGTCAAGAGTAAGTTTCAGGTCTCTTCTGACATACCTTTTGGTCTTTTCTCCCATTTCTGTCTTTCTAATGACCTTTTGCTTCCTTCATGTGTGATGTTCTTAATGTCATCCCACGACTATACCCATTAGTATGCCAACAATTATTTTTTCTATTATTACTTAGCTGTAACTTGACGGAAAGCCTGGATAAGATGGAAGGCATAATGTAGCATATGGTATCACAAACACACTGCTGTTGGGTCACTTCCAACTCATAGCGACCCTGTAGGACAGAACAGAACTGCCCCATAGGGTTTCCAAGGCTGTAAATCTTTCAGAAGCAGACTGCCACATTTTTCTCCATGCAGGAGCTGGTGGGTTTGAACAATAAACTTTTGGTTAGCAGCTAAGCACTTTAACCATTGTGCTACCAGGGATCCTTAATGTATGACAAAAAAACTCCAAACTTATTGCCATCAAGTTGATTCTGACCCATACCAACCCCCTTTGGGTTTCTATGGTGGTAAATCTTTACGGAAGTATATTGCCCAGTCTTCCTTCTGTGAAGTGGCTGGTATGTTTAAAGCCCCTATCTTCTGGTTAGCAGTAAGATGCCTTAGGCACTATGCCACCAGAGCTTCTTCAACATATGAAAAGTAAGGTTTAAAGAAGTACAATGGAAGGAGAGGCCCAAGGACTCAACCTGAGGGATGAAAGATAAGCCAGGTGAGACCCTCCAGTGAGGGGAACACTGGAAAGGCTTCCAGCACAGAGAGAAAGGGATGCTTGAAGACATGCTTTGCAATCATTTCTGTCTTGAGCAATACTTTGCTTTCAAATAGTTTAAGACATGATCTTCCCTGGCTGCTTGTATCAGAAGAGTATCTAAACTGGAAGTAGGTGTTTGCTACTGAATAGCATTCTACAACCATCTTATACATATATGTGACTCACATTCAAACTAAATCTAAAATAATATAAACAATATATATCAGTAGGAAAAAAAAACGTGGGTCTTTCTTCCAAACCTCCCCATTACAGCACCAGCAAATTCCTAAGATGAAATCTATAAACTCAGACCCTGAGTTGGCAAGCATTAACTGACAGAACTTAAGTTTTCATAACGTTATTACATGTTTCATTTTAAAAAATAAAATAAAAGTTGCCACTGAATCAATTCCAACTCATAGCAACTTCATGTGTTACAGAGTAGAACTTAGCTCCATACGGTTTTCTTGGATTTAATCTTTACAGAAACAGGTTGCCAGGTCTTTCTTCCTTGGTGCTGCCAGGTGGGTTAAAACAGCCAATCTTCTGGTTAGTAGCCATATGCAAACCGTCTGTGCCACTCAGACACCTTGTTTCATTTGTAGAACATGCATATAAGACATTTTGCCAATACATACATCAAAGAATTTGATACTTTTTTTAAAATTTTGTTAAAGTATTTGATGACTAAAATAGTATTTGAAGACACTGTAATTTATAGTCAACAAACAAACAAACGAACAAAAAAGACCTTAAAAACCATTTACTCATAGCATGGGTTCTACAGCCATATTAACATTTTTATGGTATTTTATCCTCTCAACAGATTTTAAAAATTCAGCTAGGGGTAAAACTAAACCTACATTGAGTTTTAAAAATTATGACAAGAATATGACTTACATGAGATTGAGATGGTGGCAATTAAAATTTATATACAAGTTACCACAAGGACAGTGGCAACAGTCTTTGCTTCCTCGAGTTACTCCTTCCATAGGCAGCAAATATCCATGTACGAGAGTTCTATTTTATGTTGTTCTATGAGTTGACAGGGAGCTCTGGTAGCATAGTGGCTAAGACACTTGCCTGCTCACCAGAAGGCTGGCGGTTCAAACCCACCAGCCACTCCTCGGAAGGAAGGTTGGGCAATCCTACTTCCGTAGTGATACTGCCTCGGAAACCCAAGGAGGGGTCGCTATGAGTCAGGGTTGACTCCACGGCACATAACAACAACAACAACATGAGTTGACAGGTGACATTTTAACATCTAGCCAACCATAGCAAGGCAATTCAAAATTAAGGCTGATACTTTGTTCTTTAACTTGTTCCAAAATACTGCAGGGGTTTTACTGCCTGATGTTACACCATATGTGCAAACTCTCCACACAGCAGGCAGAGTTAAGCAGGATGCCTCAGCATTTTGCCATTCTCTTGCTTCCTGTTGTTTCTAAAACAACCCTAACTTTAGCTAAACATAACCCTTTTGGGCAAATCATTTTTAGGAACAGAGTCTGCCTCATAGCAGAGTACCCTGTATGCTGACTACAATTCCAAAGCACTGCAATCTATCACACTGTAGAACTCACTGGTTTGGCACTGTACAATCTTTATGAAACCCAGCTCTTTTATAAAAAAATTCATAGAATTACCTACCCCATAAGTTTTTAGGAAAAAAACACACAACTATGAAATAAATAAGAGGAATTATTTCAAAACATTTTCTATCTATAAAATGATAGCAATTAAATGATAGCAGATCTTTATAAATACTACCTTTTTGATATTACTAGTCTTTAATTCTGAACTTACTTTTATCTTTGCTAATGGGATGTATTTATTTGTGCCCTCAAGAGATTAGAATCAAAAGAATCTTCTTGGTTTTAGATTCAGAATTATATTTGGCAGGTATGAGACCAATAGATGAGAAATGAAGGAAAACCAACTGCTAATTATAAACTAGATCCTTAGCTTAATAGCCATAACTCTTACATGCCAGAGTTCAGGAAAAGGATCTACAAAGAAACAAAATGGTTTTTTTAAAAAATATGTAACTTCACCAATGGTCTTTCCCCTTGGGTTTTCTGTAAAGTAGAACATTTAGCCCCATATAACTCAAAAAATCTATACATGGCTTAGAGAAGGAAACACAAATCTCATGGGTTTCAGGTTCACTTCCTGTTGCCTTCCGTCATTATACATTTAAAAGGTAATCAATAAAAGTGGATTTCTCTTTGTAAGCATTTTCTTCTTCTGCTAGAAATAATAGCAGTCTCCGCCCTAAAATGTGGGAGCTCTCATGGCATAGTGGCTAAGGCACTTGACCGCTACCCCAGAAGGCTGGCAGTTCAAACCCACCAGCCACTCCTCGAAAGAAAGATGGGGCAATCTACTTCCGTAGTGATACTGCCTCAGAAACCCAAGGAGGGGTTGCTATGAGTCGGGTCCGACTCGATGGCACATAACAACAACAACAACACGCCCTAAAATGAAGAAAAAATGGAAAGTAATATTTACAATAAGATGAGAAAGTGAAAGCGCCTAAGCATTATTCCTGAACCAAGTGAAACACAACAGCAAGTCAATTCTTAAAGAAAATTTTTACAAATACTCTTGGCATGAGTTCTATTCTTAAAATCTTCGTATCAATAAGTTTTCAAACTCAGGATTTATATTCCAACTTTCAAAGACAACTTCTTTATGTTTTCTAACAGTTTCACTATATTCCTAGAAAGTATACAGATCTCATGAAAGACTTGTTCAATGTTCAAAACTGAAGCAGTAAGAGCGGACAGTTAAGTCCCCTAAACTGCCTTGTAGGCCAGAGTAAGATGCACAGAAACCAGGGAAAAGACAGATGAACAGAAAGTTATATCTTTTTAAGGAAATAAATGACTATAAACAACTTTATTCCTTGTTTCAAAACTTTTTGCTGCTTGCATTTTCAGCACAAGAATTTTCTAACTTAAAACGTTATTTGAAAGTTTTATATTAAATAACCTGAAATGATTTAATAAGGTTCTCCCATTTACAGAGACTTTCTCAGAACTATTCTTTTTTTTTTTATTTTTTTCTTCTGGTGGATTTCTCACAAAAGCCTAAAAAAATCCCACCAAATGGAAGAGTAAGAGACTTTTACTTTGTAACAAAGACACAAACACATTTACAAGTTTCCCAAACCTGGTATTTCCCTTCACTCTGTCCTGTCTATGGAGGTTGTCATATTTCACCAGGGCAGATTATAAATCAGACAAGTTCAGCCAGTTACCTTGAAAAATAGAGGTGAAAAGCACAGTGGAAAATATGTAAAAGTATAATTAAAACCATATGTTTCATTGTATATATTCTCAGCAACAACAAAATAAATTATTAAAAAAAATAAACACTTATGACCAGAGATATTGAAGCAAATTTGCTGGAAGAAACCCAAGTATAAATCAAACCCTGTCTAGTGTTAGTGAAACTATCCAGTTTATTTGGGATAAGCAGACATAATGCACAAAATATTCTTTTTTCTTCACAGTAAGTGCTCCCACAGAAATGAAGTCTTAATAAAGTGATTAAGCTTTTGGTTATCTTTGTATCACAGTTAAATCCATAGCTGTTAATGTAAAACTGATCTCTAATTTTAAACAGTAATCACTTAGTTAGAACACAGCTTACTATTGGCCAAGAATCAACAGCTTAGGATGAGAATGTTGAAACAAAAAACCTTTTCTGCTTTTCTAAAAGTCTTTATGTATAAGGACATAAGAATTCCAGTAAAGCTGCCTATTGTGAGACATAAGAATAAGAAGCTATAAAATCTAACGTGTGTCATCTACTACACTACAAACTATCTATCTAGATGTTGCTGCTTCACATAGGTTGTATACTTAGCAGACCAATGATGTCTAAGGATGTACAGAAATTAACAGTTCTTGAAGTTGGAATGCAATTCCTGTAAGCATCTTTTGGCCTTGGCCATCTTTCACTACAGACATTCCATAGCTACTTCTCCAGTACATTCCAAGTGTCAATTACAAAAAATCTCAGCTCACAACTGAAACAAACCTTTTGATATTACTCTGAGATTCCAGTAAACAACTCAAGTTTAGCAAGTCACTTACCCCCCAGGAACTGAATTCCTCCAGCTACTCTTCCCACTGTCCTGGAGATGAGCTCAGACACACAGCATCCCATGAGAGCCGTCAGTGCCACCAGGAGCAGGAGGCCACACCCCAGGCCAGTCACTATGGTGCAGATCCTCCATTCTGTGCTGGGGATGCCCTGGAAGGAGGCATAGCGCCCACATTCCTCCACCATTACCATCATCTGCCGACTCTCATCGTGCACAGGATAGGAGCACCTCCGGAAAGTACCAAAGGACACAGGCTTGCCCAACTGTGATCCCCAGAGCCAGTACGGCATAAAGAACCCCACACAGGAGGTGGCAGCACAAAGAAATGAGAGCAAAGCCCAGATCACTCCCGTACAAGTCAGGCTTGATGCCATCTTTCACCAAATGGGGCAACAAGGACCCAGAGTAAATGTTCAGGGACTACAGGAAGAAGTGAAGGTGTGAAATTGCCCAAGATCCGCAGGTAATCCACAATTCTGTACTGCGGGAGGGTGCAGTAATGGAAGGAATCTTCAGTCCTTCTACACGTCAACTTCCCTTCCTCTGTAGTAAGTTGGATAGTTCCTGGTAAAGCAACAATAAGAAATGTTAAAAACCAAATGCTTTAGCGAAGTGTAACATCTACTCAAGTGGTCTACAACTTCTAATTAATAAACACGCAAGCTTGTCCCAACACTTCAAAAGTGAGAACTAATTCTCTCTATATTACAAGCCTGTGTCTAGAACTCAAAGCTTCTTCATGCCTTTATCGCCTATAAATGCTCCCAAATTAACTCTGACAGCTATTTACTTAAAGATATGCATGACTTCTATTTGCCAAGCCAGTGAATTCATTTCATATACTCACATTAAAAGTAACGTAGCATTTTTACTGGCAGTAAACATAATCCAGGATATTAAAATAAAACTAACCATACCACGGTTTATTTCTTTGGCTTGCAAATTCCTACTCATGGTTTGTGGCAGCTTTTCTGTGTCCCTTTAAAGGTGCCATTAGCTCTCTGCATGAGTCCAAACAAAATAATTAGGATAATTTTTCACAATTGCAGAGCACCATAAATTTAGCAAACATTATTTTGAAGGCACACACATTGGACAGAACTATCAGCAGGCACTCCCAGTACTCATTCATTAGCATTTGAGAATTCCCTCAGTCTTAACAACCACAGTAAATAAAGTCTGTGCATGACTTATTTTGAAATCTGCAATTTTGATTCACTGATTTCAATAATCTTGTTGGACCCCTTCCGCTAGCTGAATGACCATAAGTGGCTAACTTGCAAAGTAAGCCATAAGTTCCAGTACTCAGTCATTCAGATGATTCCAGGTGCAGTCACTTCCACCTGCACCCTCTTAAAAAGTGTTCCTAACCTTCTTCCCAGACTTTCCAGAAAGAAATGACTATGGAAGTGCTGAGGCCATCCACTCCACAGTTCCTTCCCCAGAGCTCCCAAGTCCAATTGTGAGGCTCCAGGCAAATTCCAAATCCTTTCCTTTCCACTCTGTTCCCAATCTCCCCCTACCCTTTTCCTCTACGCCACCTTCCAGTCTTAGTTGTCACTCTGGCCACTTTTTTTTTTTTTTTTTTCTTTCTCCTCAACTGAGGTCAGCGAGGGAAGTTGGGTTGTCTGGGCCATGAGGCTGGGGAAGATGAGCTGAGGCAGGAGGGTCCTCCTCCCGAGCTGGGCGGAGGCGCCCTGGACGAAACCAGCCTTCATTCAGCCTCCTGCGTTGCCACCGCCTCCCCAAAATCCCACCCTTGGGAAGCCGTACAAGGTGCCCTCAATCCAAAGGGGATGGGGGGGGTGCATTTTCAGCTGGCCCCTCCAGAAGGTTGGGGATAAAGATGGGCAAGCAGCACCTCCCGCAGGCAGACGCCAACAGCGAACAGCCCGTAGATTATCCCAGCTTGGGAGTCCGGAGCCCGGACAGCCTAGTCCTGGCGTCCAGAGTAGAGGGGGTCGGAGAGAGTAGCTGAGCCCCACGCCCATGGGGTCAGCGGAGCACCGTACTTACATGGCTGGCAGGAGCGGCAACCTCCTCTCCGGGTCCCGGGCCGCACACAACTTGCTGTCTTTCCCGGACGGGAACATCCACGGCCAGGAAGCCCGTCCCCCCTTCCTCGCCGTCGTCCCTCCCCGCCACACAACGCCGGCCTGGCCCGAGAGCAAGGTCTCTAGAAGGCAGTCGGCGAGCAGCAGTGGAGCCCCGCTCCCGGCGCGTCCAGGCGGGGCTCGAGAGGAGCTGTGGGCGCGCGGCGCCGGATCGCACGCAGACCCACAGATCTCCCTTTGGCAGGCGAAGCACGCACCGCCTCCTCCCCAGCTCCAGGCCCTCCTCTTTCAATGTCCCCTCCCTTCGCGCCCGCCGGGACCCAGCTCAGACCGACTGAAGACGCGGCCCGCTGCCTGGCGCTCCCGGCGCGCAGGGTGGGGAGGGGCGCGCCCGCGGCCCGCTGGGCTCCAAGCCCACCCTGGCCGCTTTCGCTCAGCTTCTTTGGATTCCCCCGTCGCTACCTTTCTGGGTGCCTCCCCAAAGGGGCGTGGGGGGAGGCGGACCCCAAACCTAGAAGTCGGGGAGAAACTTGCTTGTCTTCTCGGGTGCTCCAAAGGGACAGTGGAAGACAACGTTCCCTGTTAGCTTTTATGAGTCTGGTATTTGGTCTAATTCCGGACTTGCTCCTGCCTTTAGGAGACGTAGACGTGGGAAGGAACACTTTAAAGAGTGGGAAAGTGACCCTCTGAGCGTTGAGGAGGCTCTTGGGAAGTGATCACTTTGGAAGGGGTGACAAAGCCGGTGTGGCCGTGGGAGTAGGAGGTGGGAGGGTGAGCGGAGAGCCCAAGACTCGCGGTTTCGGTAGGGTCCGGGTCAGGAAAGCCGCCTGGACATGCCGGGGAGAAGTCAGAGGAAGACTTCCAGCGAATATCTCCCAGAGATCCCAGCCTTGGAGACCGCTTTCAAGGCATAGCTGTTCTCTGGATCTCTCTCCTGCTCTCTAGCGCTTCTCGAGTCTCTAACTCTCTCCTCCCTCTCCCGTCTTCATTCTCAATCTCTCTTTCCAATCAATCTTCCAATCAATACCACCGCTGTAGACAGTGTTTTATTGGAAAAGCTATAGGAAAAAGCAGGCTTCTCTTCCCTAGATAAAGTTTGTGAAGTGTCTTTTCAAAGGAGCTGGAAGTAATAAAGGGGTAAATGTAGATTTCATAGTAAATTTTCAAATTGCACAATTTTAATTAGCCTTGATGGTGTTCACTCATCCACAACTACAAGCTAGAGATATGTGTTCTCTCTCATTATTATTTTCAAAGGCTTTAAGTAATTGGTTCCAACCCTTTGGAGGTCATAGACCTTTTTTAGGAAAAGATGAAACTTGTGAGCCCTCCAGAACAACAACAAAAAAAATGCACTTACATACAAAGCTATATGGAAGTGGTTCTCAAGGAAAAGGGGACTTTGCCCCACCCCCAAGGAGACTTTGGGCAATGTCTGAAGATATTTTTGATTATCATGACTTAGGAGGTGCTACTGGCATCTAGTGGGTATAGGCCAGGGATGCTGCTAAACATCCTGAAATGCTCAGGACAAACTACCCTGAAAGAAAGAACTGCCTGGCCTGAAATACCAAATGTCAAGGTTGAGAAAACTTTTTTCAGTGAAATGTCAGATGGTTCCATAATCCCCTGCAGCCTGTCCATGCAGCCCAGATTCAGAATCCCTGGCTTGCATTATTTTCATTCTCCTTGAATCACCAATTACTGAGCTCCGTGATAGCATTTTTAAATGACTGCTGTCCCACTTATTACCATATTCTTAGTTATTATACAGAGCTTTTATATCTATGTAATGTGAAGGTAGAAGACAGGATTATATAAAAGCAAATAATGATAGTGAGATTCTGCCTCACCCTGTGCACATCCTGATGGGGAAATTGGTCTCAGACACTTTCTCAAGTTTGGAGTTTTAAACCCTGAGATGAGTTACTGGGGAGATGTTAATGGTAGTTATGGTTACCATGGATTGTGAACTGTTCCTATGTGTGTCTGTATGCTAAGGTTTTTTCAGAGATGACTTTATCTAGATCCCTCTCCCCCTTTGCCATCAAGTGGGTTCCAGCCCATGGCATCCCCATATGTTAAGAGTAAAACTGGTGTATAGAGTTTTTTGTTTGTTTGTTTGCTGTAATGTTTAGCAGACTTTTCTTCCCTCGAGCCACTGAGTGAGTTCAAACTCCAACTTTTAGGTTAGCAGCTATTTGCAAACCACTTGCTCCAACTAGGGACCTTCTTACTTTATGTAGTCCTAAAAAAAAAAAAGTGGAGAATGTGTAATTTTGAATTTACAGGGTGGTTAGATAATTTGCTCCAGACCTTAAAACTAATGGTAGACTTTAAACAATCTCATCCCCTGCATTCTATTTAAACAAAATATTGTAATACTTTCATGCTATTGGAGAGATTCTGCCTAAACTGAAAAAGAAAGTAAAGGGAAAGGCTGAATTTTTGAATCAATTATTTGTGAAAGGATAGGTTGTTATATACTGAGACTCAAGCCTCCAACATAGTTAAGTGAATTTGAACAGATATCATGAGTTTTCTGAGCCTAAGCTATTTCCCCTGTACAAAGAGGTTGGAATAGACGATTTCTCATACTCTTCTAGCTCTGACATCCCTTTTCTTGATAACTTCTAACACCATGGTTAGATAGTTACTCATATCTGAGAGGGCATTTAGGGATCATCTAATCTAGTTCAAGCACACAATTTTCCAGATCAGAAAACTGAGGACCAGAATTCTTACAGACGTTTACCCAAAGCTGAGCCTAGAATCCATGTATCCTGATTTCTCTTTTCATTCTACTGTATAATTTTCTTCCTAAATTATAAAATCATCTGAATTACTGTGTAGGCTCTTGCATGCATACTTTATAGGCAAAATGTATTATAATATCTTTAAAAACCTTGCATTCAACTTGCACCTTCAAAGGATCTTTGAATTAGTTCACAGCCAGAAGTTCCCACATAGGAGTTGCCTGTGATACCTCCTATTCCAGGTTTGGGTAGTTCTAGTATGTTAGGATGCTAGTCCCACTGAGTAATCAGGTGAGATCATGATCATAAAAATACATGGAAAGTTGTAAAGCACTTATGACCACACTCTTGGGTGATCACACAATATTGATTCGTGACTCTGTTCTCTGTTCGTGATGTTTTTCTAGCCTCTCTTAAAGACAGTGGTGCCACGTGACCCTGTTTTTGCCAATGGGTCATAAGGAGATATCTACTAAGGAAGCCTCTGGGAGGATTGTATTCCCTGAAGAAAAGGCAAAGGTACAGTTCTTTCACCATCCTGGCTACCTTGGGACACACTCTCAAAAAATGGGATGGCTAGAGCTGTGACAGCCTTTTTGTAACCATGAGGGGAACCGCGGAGACATCATCTCATCACTCTAATTTTACGGAACTGTTGAACCAAACCTCAGCCTACCTCCTTTTGAATTTTTTAAAGTAAATTATAAATTGTTAAAGTGGTTTAAGACATTGTTAGTTGAATTTTCTGTTTCTG